GTTGTTTAGTTTTCTAGGGCTGCTATTGCTGTTAGGGTTTGCTTGGAATCTGCTGCAGCACCTCTCGGGCTGTGGCTCTTGGGCTCTTTGGGTCTGACTCCCACCACGCAACACCTATTGTCCATCGGTCAGTGGGTGGTGAGGAATTGTATCATATTGTATCGTATGTTTTATTTCCTATTATTTTAATAATTTATTATTAGTACTACTTGTATTTCTTAATTTAGATTTAATTAGTAAATAGTTCCTATCTCAGTTTTACGATCTTCCTTATTTCTTTTTCCTCCTATTCTTCTCCTCCACTGGAGGAGGGGAGGGGGGATTTGTGAGAGTGGCTTCATGGTCTTTGGCTAGCCGGAGTTAAACCACAACAGTGGTATGCTAAATTAATAAATGATAAACAAATGTTACTTATTTTCTGATTGTGGGAGAAGATTTACTAAATACTGTATTTGTTTTAGTGACATTTCAAGGGTAGATTACAGAAAGGATTTAGGAATCTGTGGGGAAGTGATGTGATGCCTAGTTCTTACCCATATGGTTAATGAAGAATGGAGAATCATCAGAATAAGATCCAAAGAGGAGCTACTTCAGACAGCTCACAGGCACGTCTGGTAGACCTTCTCTCTTTCTGGTTTAGGGGTTTGAGTCAAAGCTTCATTCATGTCGAGTTCAAAGCTCTGAATGCTTCCACAAAGGCTCTCGAAGAAATTAAGGAAGTTCTTGCTTTAATAAGTAACTGTATAGATAGATAAATAGATGTACTTTATGAAAGAATATGCCTATTTTTGGGTGATAGTCATGGCTTAAAAGTATTCAACTGGTAAATGGACAGCTTGATCAACTGCTTTCCAGATTATGGTGTTCTTACCAGATTTTTCACCTTGCTTTACACTCCTCTCCAGTGTGAAAGCAGATTCTTTCTGATCCCACAGGTCTTGCATGTCTTCTGCATAGTGTCATAGCTTCAACAGGAGCTGTATACCTCAGCTTTTAGCTTGATGGTTAGGTTAGAAGGTGAAAGATACAGGTTTGATGCACTGACTTTGTGAGTGCTGTAGTTGCTAGGTTGCCATAATAAGGGCTTTCCCTTCAGTTGATACTCTTTGCAACAATATAATCTTAACATTTTTTAATAAACCTGAACCTGCCTGTATTCATCCAGGGTTCTGAATCAGACCCCTCCCCCAGCAGTTTTAGGCAGAGGAATCATTTCTTCATGAATTGTCATAAAGCTTTAACGTGAATAACTACTTACAGTTCTTCCCAAAAGCAGAATTCCTTATCAATGATGAGGTGAGACAGTCAGAAACCACATCTAAAAAGCAACCCAAGGGATTGCTTTTGTTGCGTCATTTTATCCCTGTGTTCTGTTTACATGCATGACATGGTTAAACCCTTCTTTAAGTCTCTAAACATATTTGGAGCTGATATTTGGCCACTTACCCAAGAAATAGGATATATAACATAAACAGGACAGTAAAAGGGATATCTGTAATTTAAAGTACATATTTTTGGGGGGAGTTGGATATTTATGATGTCTGAGACTGGAAACTTAAGTAGCAAATGTTAAACCAAGAAAGGGCCATTTTTTATTCTAACCAAATAAATGTTTGCAACTTTTCCACCTATTTTATTGTTAGACAGGATTTTTAGCTGCTGTCCAGGCCAACAAAGCAGGAGGACAGGAAGCAAGTTGCAGCATCCTTGCTTAAAAATAGATGCCTTGAACGGTGCATATGTCCAGTACCTCTCTGCTCTCTGACAATTTCTGAAAATTGATGACAAAGAGAGGAAGTTGAGTCATCATACCCACCAAAGTTATAGCTCATCTTTTTTTTACAGCTATGTTAGAAAGATTAAGTATAGGGAAAATGTTTTTTTTTTGTTTCCCTCTAACCTCACCTTAAATCAGGAACTGTTAATATCCAAAGCTTCCCAGATATGAATTTGTTCTCTTCTGGCCATTTCAGAATTTACATTGGAGTCTGAGGCTAGAAATAAAAACATTGAAATGCTTTACTGTGATGTGTCTTTTATTGCATCAAGTGAGTGTAGAAGTTCCGCAGAATAACATTAATTTTACCGGACTATAACGAAGGTGTTCAGTAAGCCTATGCACACTTTATTCCTTGGGGAATTGTATCATCTAAATAAATTAATTGGAATCAATGAAGCATATACTTTAAATTGAGATCTTCTATTGAAGGGGCACATGGGACTCAAAAGGCTTAAGGAAAATATTTTTAATTACAGTTTACTTCAAGAGGACAGGTGAATAAACATCTTATTTTTTCTCATTCATTTATTTTACATCTATGTAGATGATTGATCTACATATCCTACCCTGTGAAAGCAAAAATACTTAGTCTCTTAAGCTTCTAAGAACAGTAACTAAGCAGATTTCTGTGTACCATAGATGGTCACTGATCTTTTCACTTTCAGCAAAATAATAGTCCATGCCACTGGTGATACAGTTGCTATCTGAATTTCAGAAAATAGTTGATGTGTAAATTAGTACAAAGCTATTGACAAGTTATGGTTACCTACAAATGAAGAAGGAGGAAAAAAAACCAAACCCATAAGCATTAATCACTGAAAATGTCTGAAGGAAAACTGGTAATAAAATTGTTGGGAAATACTAAAAAATGTAGCTAATTGCAAATGCATAAA